TATGATCAAAACCACAGTGAATTTTGCTTCTGAGTGCCATCCCACAGAAAGACCATCATAAAAACACTATAGCATGTCTTCATCTACCCTATTTACCAGATGTGGCACCAGGTAACTTCTGGCTCTTCCCCAAAGTCAAAATGACCATGAAAGGTAAAAGTTTTTAATTGACTCAGGACATCAAGGCAGCCATAACAGTGCAAAAAAAGATACTCACAAAAGAGGCTTTACCATTAATTTTTTTAAATAGTAAAGTATTTTGTGATCACACCCTGTAAGCAGAGCACCCACCTCAGAAATTCTTTATAAGGACTAAATAGAATAATGATTTAAAAATCACCCAGTAGCCAGGTGTGGTGACACACGCCTGTAATCCCAGCACTCAGGAGGTTGAGGCAGGAGGATCGTTGTGAGTTCGAGGCCAGCCTAGGCTACAAAGTGAGCTCAAGGCCAACCTAAACTGCATAGCAAGACCTTGTCTCAAAAAGAAAAAAAAAAAAAAAAAAAATCACCCAGTACACAGCATGTAGCGAGTGTTTATTTAAATATAAATAATCGGGGCTGGGGATTTAGCTCAGCGGCAAAGTGCCTGCCTGGCAAGCGCAAGGTCGTGAGTTCGGTCCCTGGTACCGGAGAAAAACCAAAATATAATCATTATTATCACATAATCTGATCATAGTTTATACTTTTTAATACCTAGCCCTGTATGTTACAGACATCCAAGTTTAAGAATGCTATCTCCCCTAATGAACTCTAAGCATCTCAAAGGCACTGGTGAACTAATGTCTTAGTTATTGAGACAGAAAACTGACATCTATAAGTTAAAGGAAGAAAGGTTATTTCAGCTCACAGAATGTAGAGGTTTCAGTCCATAGGTCACTATCTCCAAGGCATGGCAGAGGAGAAACAATCATGGCAAGGCAGGTAGGAAGCAGTGAAGCAGCAAGCAGCAGCAGCAGAAGCAAGCCTGCCTTTCCCTTTTATCCCAAACAGGCTACAAACTTTTTGGGTGGTGCCACTTATACCAGGGTGGGGCTTCTGTTTTCAGTAAATCCATTCAGCCACACCCATAACTGTCCTAATTCCAATCAATGGGCTAATTTAGTCCCACACATGCTTAATCTCAGTATCACACATTAGATCCAGCCAGCTCTGAAAATCCTCACCTATGAATGCATGGGGTTTGGGGAGACATCTAGATACAAGCCACAAGCCAACAGTTGCCTACACCTGTGTCAGTTCACTTCCACTGGACAACAAGCCATCCCAAAATTTAATGGTTTGAAATAACATCATTTGTTCAGTTTGTTCAGTTTGGTGATCATTGAGCTTTAGCCTGCATCAGAATCATCCAGAGGGTTTGTTAAAGCATTTGACTAATACCTAATGGGTGCACAGGAAATATTTGTGGAATGGCAAGTGGTTCTCCTAACAATGAGAATTTAGAAATTTTGTAAATGGCATCAAGTTATTTGTGCATTGCAATCTAGCATGCATGCATGGGTGATTCCTGGGTAAGTTTCTCACGTAGTGGCTATGAGATCTTCATGCTTGAGTCTTAGGTCTTTCAAGTTTAACATGAGGGTTGTAATTATCATCTTACAAATTTTTGGTCAGGACTGAATTTGAGAAGCAGTATGCATGAAAGTTTTAAAGTTTTCTGAGCAGTTTAACCTCTCTATACCTCAGTTTCCTCATCTGAGAGTTGGGCACAAATCAGCCCTTTGGGGAGTATCAAATGGGGTGGCACATGCAGAGTGTTTGCATTATAAAACACAATTACTATGAATGGGATCACACTGCCTAGAACATTGCCCAAAACAGTCAGTAAATGCTAGACCTAGCATAGCACTGAGGCTATAGAAATCCCAGCTTTTATTCAGTTTGATACCAAAAGAGCTATTATAACCTGCCCCAGCTTAAGAATTCCAGGTGTGCAGATGCTATTCAAGGTGTAGGCTCTGAAAATCAATGCGTGCAAGAAGCCACCAGCAACCTCACCAGATAATCTATAAGGTCTCAAAGTTGTCACCATCTGGATGCCTCTGCCAATTCCTCTTGTAGATCTAGCCCACAGCTTCACTCCTCCTCCACCTACAAAGTGAAAGTAGGTCACCTCGATTTTTCAGATTTTAGGGGCAGAACAGACAGGAGGAAAGGATGTGGTGAATGGAGCCAACAACCAGGGATGAGAGCTAGGAGTCTATAAACCTTTTGCATGTTCCCTAGGTGGGGAAGGGAAGGAGAAACAAAGGAGAGAGAGTAGGAAGGATAAAAAGAAAGAAAAGAGGGAGGAGTAAAAAAGGAAAGGAGGGAAGATGGAATCAGGAAAGATAGGGAAAAGGTGGAAGGGAGCCTGGCGGGCAGGTGGTTGGTCTACTCCCCTCAGCAGACAGTCACTAGCAACCTCTGAGACGGAGGCTGGTGATGCTAAGTGAGCAGTCTTGTCTGCTGCCCATTTAATTGCCGGGAGAAGCCACAGGGCTAAGAAGGCCACATGCTCTGCAAAAGCTTTCAGCGTGGTCTCTGGGGCTTTCCTCTCTCCAGGTGACTCCCATTTAGGCCAGTGTTAATGGGTCCCCTGCCAAGAAGCCCCTGTCAGACAGTGCAGTTAAAAGTGCCTCATTCAAACAATCACCATCATAATCAAAAAGGCTCTGGGCTGGAAAGCAAGCTGAGGTTGTGGTTCCAGGCAAGCCTGGAGCAAGGCTCTGTCCCAGCTGGCTACCTGGGCTCATCTCACCCTCAGGACAGCAGGCTTGCTTTGCACACACACAGGGAGGTGGCAGAGAGCTCAGTGCCAAACCAGGATCAGATTTCAGTTCAGGCCTTTGGCACCAGGTGTGTGTAGAGAAACCTAAAGATCTGGAATTTTCCCCCAGGGAGGCCCAAGGATGTTCTTTCATGAGGCACCTCAGGACAGTTCACTGCTGTGCACTAGGAGATACCGCAGGTGCTGGGGTTTCAATGAGGAGCATAATGAGCAAGGCCCACCATCAGGGAACTGGTCTTCTAAGGGGAGACTGAGACCAAATAAACCAATAAGTAATTCCAGTGAGGTCAGAGAGTGAAAACAATATACAGAATGATATGCTAATGATTGGCCTGAAGTAACCACAGGAAAGTGCAATATTAGACAGGGCAGGCCTGGCAATCAAGTAAAGATACTTGGGTCAGAACCTGGACGTGATGAGGAGGCAAACAGTTGAAGGTCCAGAGAAAGGCAAGTAAAGGCCTGAGTTCAGAAGGAGCTCTGCATGTCGGAAGAACCACCAGGAAGATGGGATGAGTTCTTATAAGGAAATAAAGTCAGGTAAATAGATCATGATGGTAGCCAACCTCCAAGAGAGTCCCCAGTATTCCCTGGCTCCAGGAACTCACAATCCTGTGTATAAAATGATTGGGACAATTCTGTGGAACTAGCAGGACATTGGGACCGTGCCAATGTGTGGTTTCTGAGTCCAGGTCATAAAAAGTCATTGCAGTTGCTCTTTTGCTTTCTCTCAAGTCACCCACTCTGAGCAAAACCAGTCACCACATCTGGAGAATAATCCAGCAGTCCCATAGCAAGGTCCCTATGGTAGGTAGCAGCCAGCACCATCCTGCTAGCCATGGGAATGAACCACCCGGAAAGGGATCCTCAGCCCACCACTACCTTCAGACACCTGCAGCTCCATCTGACACCTTGACCAGCACCTCATGCAAGACCTGAGTCTAGATGTCCCCAAATTCTTGACTAATAGAAACTGCAACAGGTACTGAAGGCTGATAGTTCAGTTAAGCCCTTGTATATTGGGGCTTGTTTGTTATGCAGCAATAGATAACCAATATAGTCATGATGTCATAGTCAGAAGCTTGGGTTTTATATTTGGTACCCACAGAGAATAATTGGCAAAATGACCTCATCTGATTCATATACACAGGGTTCTGTTCACTCCAGATTCTGTGAAAAGAAAGGTAGGCAGGAAGGCAAAAGAGACTAAGGTGTTAGAAAGATTTCTTTACACTTGTCTGAAAATGTTCTTTAATTTCTTTCCAACTACCCAATCACAGTCTTGCAGTTCCTAATGGGATACAGCACCAATTCCAAAGTTTAGAAAAGTAGAAAGTGCTTACAGAGCATTCTGTCCTACTGATGGCACACCACTGCCACACTCAGTGTGGGCACCAAAGACTTCTAGCTTATTGCACAATGCTTTCACATTTTCTAGCTCCTTTGTGATCAGGTAGTGTCCTGTGATTGGTCTGGAAAGTGACCTATAAGCACAGGTGTCCTGTATCACTAGGGGCTATAGTTTTGTATTATCTACTCCACATGCTTCAGAGCTTTCTTCTTTCATTGAGGAGCATGTGAAATAGTGGCTTCCCTATTGTTCTGGATCCCTGAGAGGACCAGAGGACCAGGTACCAACCTTATACATATAGAGAGGCATGAGTGAAAAATAAACATTTTCAGCCAGGTGTGGTGGCACATGCCTGTAATCCCAGCACTCGGGAGGCTGAGGCAGGAGGATCATTGCGAGTCCAAGGCCAGCCTGGGCTACAAAGTGAGCTCAAGGCCAGCTTGAACTGCATAGCGAGACCCTGTCTCAGAAAGACAAAAGAAAAAAAAATTTCCTGTTGTAAGCTATTCAGCTATTTGGGGAATGTTTGTTCTCTCAATGTAACCCTGTGCATACTGACAGAGGCACTTTCTTCGAAAGCTGATAATATGTACTATGAATAATTATCATTTGTGGAGTACCTATAGTCTTAACCCTAGTTAGGTGGTATCTGTAATATCTTCAAATCTTCCCAACATCTCCTGAAAAGTAAGTATTATTATCACCATTTGACAGATGAGGAAACAGAGGCTCAGAGAAGACCAATAAAGTAAAGCAAAGAAGCAAAGTGGGGGTGGAATTAGTATCTGTGGGATTTTGAAAAGATGTGCCAGGAATATTAAACACTTTTTATTAAGACAACTAACAACATCTCAACATGCCATTGTATCATCTGGGCTTCCACTGCAAAATCTGTCACTATTTTTGGTTAATAAAAAGAACTTAACATAAATTTGATTCAAGCTAAATTGCTGTGAGGGCTAGAGGAGTAGCTCCCCAGTATTCCCCCAGGATGCCTTCCGGAGAGGCCCTTCAGAACCGGCCCATCAGAAAACAGCTTGCAACGTCTGGCCCCAGGGTCACACCACCTTATCCACACCCAGATCCCGCCTCCTTTCCTTTCAGAGCCACACCTGTTCAGGCAGGATTTGTGAACACATTCAATCTCTCTTCTCTTCACTTAACGCCATTTCCAAACTCTTCTCTCCTGTAATCCCATGAGACCGGTGGTGTTGGATGAGATCTGGAACACCAGCTGCCAGGCATCTCATATGGATTTTATTTGTAGGGTATACGGATTTTAGTCTTCCACTCCTGAAGTTGAAAGAGGCAACCTAGAAAAGCATTGAATCGATAGAAGACAACTGATGGGATCCACCATATTCAGCTTCCCCATCTAAAAAATAGGGGTTATAATTCCCATTCTATCTACTCACAGGGCTGTGTTGAAGGACAAACAAGGATGTAGACATGCAAATATCAGTGTCTTCTCAATACAGAAGATAGAAATTTTTGCAATAATCCTACAAGGCTGGTACAGTTACAGTATCTCCATCACAGTGAAGCTGAGAGTTAAGACTTCTGGTAGGGTTTGGATCTGAAATTTCCCCCAAAGGGCTCATATACTGAAAGTTTGTTTCCGAAGGTAGCAATGTTCAGAGGTGGGCTTGTGGGAGGTGGTTGGATAGTGAGAGCTCTGACACCAGTGCATCCATCTGTTGATTCATACCTGGTGATATTATTGGGAAGGGATGCAAACTTAGAGGATGTGGACTGCCTGAAGGCATGGATCACAGGAACATGACCTCAGGGCCTGTTCATTGCCCCTGGCCCCTTCTTCTCTGGCTCTTTCCCTTTCTCTCTTCTTATGGGCTGTCATGAAGTAAGCAGCTTCCCTCTGCCGTGCTCTTCCACCATGATGCTTCCATGTCCTCACACACACACAGGCCTAAAAGCAATGGAGCCAACTAGCGGACCATGGACTGAAACCATGAGCTGAAATAAGCCCTTCCTCTTTTAAGTTGTTTATCTCAGGGGTTTTGTCAGAGCAATGGAAAGCTGACTAATACAGCTTCAGTGGCTGAGCTCACAGCTGTGGCTTGATGCCATGAACTGACCAGCTTGTTCAAACCCGGAAGCTGCCAGACTGTATACTACCACACCATTCTTGAGGCTTGAGCCTCATCTAGCCTGGAAAAGATTTTCTGTTTCTTAATTGATGTTAATGGGATGTGCTTATTTCCTCTAGGCGCAGGGTTCTGCATGTTTCTGATTATTTAACCACATATGCTAATGGATGTCTTTTCCTCCCAACTCCCACCTAAATTACTTACTAATATAAACTCTGTCCATATGCATCATAGTTGAGTCAGGTCTTATGGTCCGTGCATTTTACAGCAGGCTTTAAAGAGGCTCCTGGGGAATATTCTTGCTGGTGGTGCCCACCTGGGGATTGAATGCGATAGCATTTCACCTCCGAAGAACACACCAGGCTTTCCCCAAACAGAGTCAAGCTGTGGTCTCTGAATCAGTGCCTGCAAACTGGGCTTCAGTGGTGAAGCCCAATATGTGCCAGGCACCAGAACAAACTTTGACAGAGGGACCTTGACAGAATAGCTCAAAGCAATCTTAGATGACAGCCCAGGTCTAAATCTAGTTGAGCCTAATTCCCAGAGAGCTATCTCCATTCTAATCTCTGCTCTGGCTTTCCATTAGCTACTACCTCATCTCACTGCTCTATACTGTCCTCTCACATGGCAGCCCACCCAGAAAACAGGCACAGAATTCTCTCTCCTCTCCTTTCTCTTCTCCTCCTCTCCCTTCCCCACTCCTCCTCTCCCCTTAACAAGAGTTAAGTTGCCCATGTTGGGCTTGAATTTAAGAGCTTCCTGCCTCAGGCTTCCATACTGCTGTGATTACAGGCATGCACCAAGCCTAGCTTGTTTTCTCATCTTACAAAGAACCTAGTAACCTGGCAGCAAGTGAATCAAAAAAAACCAAACCCTACCTTGAACTCGTGAGCTGACAAATGGACTTTTCCATTGGTGTATCCCTATCTGCTCAGCCTCTAGTCAGATTAGATTCAAAAGAATTACTGTTTGTTTGTTTGTTTGTTTTGATAGATCCTAAATGAGAGGAGGCAGCAGTTCCTCTGGTTTCTACACTGAAATTAAATCAGTCTTTCTAGAGAAATATAGACTATAAAGATTAAGAGCTGTTTTTATTTATTTATTTATTTATTGTATCAGGAATCCAACTCAGGGCCTCATACTTGCCAGACAGGTGTTGCACCTCTGAGCTGCATCCCCAGCCCCCTTAATTCATTTTTTAAAAATTCCAGTAGTTTTGAATTTCATTAGTTTGCTGTTAATATTGTGACCAAAATTAATTTTAAACCAAAACAAAAAAATTATTCTTTATTTTCCTTAAAATATATTTTACCTCCAGAAACTTGGTGCTAATTTGCAATATTGCTAATTTGCAATATTACCTTTAGTGAAGTGTTGAAAGAAAAGAAAAAAGAAACAACAAAAAATTAGAGAAAGATTTAGAGCAGAAAATGGGACTTAACACAAAAGAAAAAGTAACATCCAGATTTAGAGGAATGGTTGAAAAAACATTTTTCTGTAAAAAGCCAGGAGGTAAACATTTTCAGCTTTGTAAGCTATAACATCTCTGTTGCCACTACTTGATTCTACAATACATGATATGTAGACAAGTGAATTCCAATAAAGTTTTACTTAAAGACAAGAAATTTGAATTTTATATAATTTTTATATACCACAGATATTTCTCTTTTTATTTTTTCTAACCACATTAAACGTAAGAACTATTGGAAGCTCATGCACTATATAAAAAGAGGTGGCAGTTGGATCTGACCTCTGACCCCTGACCCCTAACCTAAAGTCTACTTAAAGCATCATCTCTTCCCTCCAGAGAGTCCTATCAGTATTTTAGGAAAGCATTAGGCCAGCTTGTTTTTCTCTTGCCTACAATGTATTGGCCATTGCATGGATAAACTGGCTCTTGGGCTGGTTGGGGAAAAGAAATGATATGATGTGGGACACTGGAAAGGTAAAGAAATCTATTTCTCTACTAATAAGAAATATTTTTTCAATCCACATATCAATCAGACAGTGGCCAAGAAAAATGCTCCCATGCCTTCTGAACATTATGTCTTTATATTTTGAAGTGCCAAATGATCCAGTTTCTAGCGATTTTCCTCATAGATGCATGCAAAAACATTTGTACAAGGATATTCCTAGAAACATTATTTGTTGTGGAGAAAAAATTGGACATAACCTAAACATCCACTTTAAGACACTATAAAAGAGACACACTGACGAAGATGACTATGTGCTAGTGGAGGCAGTGACGATCTTGTTGATGCTAAAGAGGAAGATGAGGAGGCAACTGATGGTGATGTTGATGATAATGATAATGGCTACAGTGATGAGGATAATGATGTGGTGGTGATGATATTTGTATCAGTAATAGTGACTATAGTAGTAGTGATGGGAGATTGATGGTGGTGGTGATGATAATGATACAGAGAAGAAGATGATGATGATGATGACAATGATGATCTGGTGGCAGTGATGGTGATACTGATGTTGGTGATCGTGGATGCGTAGTTAGATGTCTGTCTGCTGCAGTCATATAACTGTTCATCTCAGTCAAGACTGCTGCAATTGACTAAAACTAGCTCAAGCAAAATGTTAAAAGATAGTGTTCTGGGCTGGGGATATAGCTCAGTGGCACAAGTGCCTGCCTGGCAAGCACAAGGTCCTGAGTTTGATTCCTGGTACAAAAAAAAAAAAAAAAGATAGTGTTCTACTGACTGTGGTGAGTATAGACTCACACTGTTGGAAAGCCTGATGGGTGGGGCTGGCTTTAGGACAGCAGGATTTGGCATTCAAACGACTAGGCTTCCCTCCACCTCTAAGTTCCACTTCCTTCTTGTGGTAGCAAAATGATTCCTACTGCTCTTATCTCAGAATCTTCCCAGATTCAAACTCAGCAGTAAGGAGGAGGCCTCCCCTCTCTCTCCCTCAAAGCACTGCACGCTAAGCTGCAGGACAGGCTCTGGGTGATTTTCCCTGGGAGTCCAACATTGCAACCAGGTACATAGAAGATTCCTGTGGGTTAGGTCCATGTTTTCCTAAGCCCAGAAGTAGGGTCAGTCTTATTTAAAGCAGGAAACCTGGAAGGCTCTCCAAGGTCAGAGGAATTCTCCAAAAGGAAGTCATCGCTGCCAAGGAAGACTGAAAAGTAGGTGCTGGACAGCCAACATCTCATCAGTCCACACCACTGAGTTTTTCATTCCATTTATGAGAAACTTTTTCAAAGGAAAAAGTCCCTATAAGATATTGTTACAGATACATATTTGAACTTAAGGTCAGAGACTGCAATCAAGATCCTGCTATGGCTTACATCCCCCCCTGGGTTCCACTCTCACACCAATGAATAAGCAAGGTGAATGCAGGGCAGAGCCACAGCTATGGGCTTCACCTTGCTCTCTTGTTGCCAGAACTCTGGGCTTCGTCTCACCCTCCTTCCTGCCCCCTACTGCCACAAAAAGGAGAAACAGGGAATAAAGCTACCTAAGAGTTACATTTCTGTATAGCTCACTGGAATTATTTTTTTATAAATCTAAAGTGGATTCTGATTAGTTAAGATGTGTATTTTAAGCCTTACCACAGCCCCTAAGAAAATAGTAACAAATAGTGAAAAAAATCATTAATTTCTTTAATGATTTAATCCCAAAAAAGGCAGTAAAGGAAGAATACAGACACAAAATTATGAGTGAGATTTTTAAAAAAACAGTAAAGTGGGAAATGTAAACCCAGCTATATCCATAATAACATTAAGTATGAACAGATTAAATACACAGGGAGGACTGTGGTATAAAACCCATCAAAATCACACAACTCTGCAAACTGGAGAGATGTATAATCATGATCTCCAAATTCCACATAGCCCTCGGTTGCCTTTAAAGAGAGCACAGATTTCTCAGCAATGCACATGATGTCCTTTATAAGCTGGCAGTCAGTTACCACTCCAGTGTCATCCATATGGTTTCTCCTTTCTTAAAGCCTGTCTTTCAACAGCATGAGTAGGTCTATTTTATCATCACACCTTCGCATGCGTGCTTCCCTGTCCTCACAGCCCCTTCCTGCACCTGTGCCCTCCCCCACCCATTCGTGCGCTTCCTCACTTGAGTTTAGGAGTTTTCTCCCCCAAAGAGCCCTCGCTAACTTCATTCCTTTGCAAGTTGGGTTTAGACCCCAAATACATGTGTATCCATTGTATCCATTTGGGTTTCTGGGACTCC